ATGACACACAGTGAGAGTTCACGGCTGGCGGATCCATTTTTCTTTTTTTTTCTTTCCTCTTTTGCTTTTGTCTCAAATTAAAAGGCACTAACCAGCGGACAGAACGTGACTGAAAAGACGCAACTTTAAAAGTTACCATGACCATCATCAGACTTCTAACGTACGCAGAAACAGATACGAAGACTAAGGTTACAGATAAAAAACAGCCGACACGTACAAAAAAAAGAAGAACTTTAAGTCCAACTAGAGTAAGTAAAATGCAACATTAAAACAATGAAGTATTTTCTTGTTTTCTAGAACCTTACTGGTAACTCACACAGTGGTTTATACTCAAAAAGTAAATGGCAAAGTCGAGCCGTCCGAGTATAAGATAATGAGATTCCAACACAATCCTGGACTCTACTACGAAAAGCGAGAAACGTTGTTAAGAACAGACGAAAAATGGAAATTAGTTATTAGAATAAATATGTCGGCAGTCGAAAAACGAATTACACTAGTAAATAATACATTAAAAGTAACAAGCAAAATGTGCTCGGATAGCGATGTCCACGACAATAATAAAATAAGGTGTCAGGAAGTATATACAGAACTACTAAATAAAGAACAAGAAATAAGTAAAATTTTTAAAAGAACCAAAGTCATCGTAGGACTCTCAACACGTAAACGCAGGGGACTGGTCAATGGAATCGGTTCAATAGCAAAGCAATTGTTTGGTACCATGGACGCGGAGGACGAAAAAGCTATCTCCGAACACATTAGCTTGTTAGAAAATAAACAAGTGGCAGAGGAACATGCGATTAAAAACCATCTAAAAGTACTAAACGCGACAGTAGCCCATCTCGGTAAAATGGAACGCGTAATTCAAAATAACAAAAATCTACTAGCCAAGTCGGTGTCACAAATCATAGCTTCTGTAAATAAACAAACACAAGAAAATCTATTAAACGAATATCTGTTTTCTGTAACCAATATACTATACGAGTTGGAAACTGACTTGAAAGACGTAATAAAACTTGTAACGGGAACGTCGAACAAATTAGAACAACTGGAGCTAATTCCTGTCGAACAAATAATACAAAGTATGCAAGAAACAAATAACCGTCTAACAAATGAATTACACTTCCCGTTTGAAATTAATTTAAATAGTTGGATAAAGATAAAACGGTTTGTGTGACGGTTGCTGTGGGGTGATACTCTATTGACCACAGTACGATTCGACACCGCTCGATTCGACACAGATTTATTCGACACCAAATTATTCGACACCGTACGATT